GGAGCGCGCGCGCGCGCGCGCGCGCGCGCGCGCGTGTGTGTGTGTGTGTGTGTGTGTGTGTGTGTGTGTGTGTGTGTGCACCGTGCGTACCCGATGCGTGCGTGCCGTTGCGTGTGTGAAGCATGCACGCGTGTGCGCGCGTGTGCGTGTGCGCGCGCGTCGTCACACGTGCGCGGCGACCGAGTGTACGTCTCTTTAAGCCGACCGAACTCTCTTCTCGTTACTCGAGCGATTCCCGACGAGCAGATTAGAAATTCGTGACTTCGCTGGAACGATATTCGCTCGCGACTACCCACGACTATCCGAACGTTGCGCAAAAGGGGAGCGAAAATTGCGTTGCCGCGCGCTATTTTAGGCGGGATTTCGCACAACCCTTTCGATTTTCCATCGATCGGCGCGAATGGGAACGTACGAGTGGAAAGCGATCGAATATGACAAATTCGACGATAAAATCGATCAGTTCGCTCTCGTTTGTCATTGCTACCGAGATGCATAAAACGATCGAGCAGGAAGGCGCGCGCAGGATGCGACAAGCAGCGAAAGTCCTATCTTTATTGCAGTCTTCGAAGCGACTCGCTTCGCTTTAATGCTCGCGTTCCTGTTTTTTTCCTTTATAGATCCTTTTCTCTGTTCACTCGAATGAATCTTGCTCATCAGCCGCGCATTGTCCGTATCTCGAAGCATTGTCTGTATATCACCGCGGCGGTTTATATAACTGATAAATATTAACGTTTCGAAATTATTTTCTTAAGGATAAAATGAATTCCTCGAGACTTTTTCTTCGAGCTGTCTCAGGCTCAAAGACGTCGTGAGGGAACAATGAATTTCGATCGCAGGCAAGAGCTGAGAACTCCTAAATAAATACTGTGATTAGGGTCGATGAGGCAATACAAATTTCATTAAACACGTTGAAACACGTCGCGACGCTTCGCTTTCTTTGCTTTCGAAGCGGCGCAACTCGCGTGCTATCCGATATAACGCTCGAAATTAATAAAACATATACGTAGCGCGTTTCACCGAAGAGTCCGAGCCGTTTCTCAGGCGAACCAACGTTCAACGTTGAAAAAATTTTTTTCCTAACGGAAAAATTGAGATTTATATTTTCTAAAAGTTGAGCGTCAGTTTTGATCGTGCAGCTCCGGCGAGAGAAATTTGTAGCGCACAGATGAAAAGGCGATCAAACCTGTCTCTCTCGGCTCCGCTCGTTTTTCGCTAATCCCTCATGAAACCACCGTCCTCACATCGGCTGGCACTTGAAATGCAAAGTTTCACAAGTATGCGGTATATACGGATTACGAGAGCGGGAAACGTGCGGTGCGAGCACCTCGTCGAGCGAAACTGGCGTTGACGTCCGCCCGGAAAATGCCCGCAAATGCGAATTTTCGGTGGGACACCGCGGACACGACGGTTTTTCGTGCGGGTGCGGGGCGAGATCGCGGCGTCCGGTCCGGCCAGAAGACTGCGCGATGGAAGTGGAAAAGCCACCAGCAGGAGCGTTGCGCTCAGACCACCGTCGTCAGGTTGAGAGCTTTCTACAATCGACGATGAGACGGAGGAGGGAGTCGAACGGCCCATTGGCGTCTTCGGGGCCCGACCGCGGCATAGGCGTAATTTCACCGGAGACTCGAGGAGACCGGAGAGACCAGGAGAGAAAGGCACGAGAGAGAGAGAGACTGGGGGGGGGGCGAGCGGGCAAGGCACGTAGAAAGACACCTGCGTCGCCACCTGATAGAACGAGACGTTCTCGCCTTTGTAAAGTCTCTGCGGAGTCCTGCTCCGATATCGATGCCGTAAGGTCATTGCTGCACGCAATCGCATGATATTTGCTCTCGCCTTGCGAGATAGTCATCGGATCGATCTGCGGTTCCGCTTCGCAACGAACCGCTCAGACGTATAATTACAGCGACATCCAGATCATCCGACATATACGAGCGATCTTACCGCGGTCTGCGATCTGCCTGATTTCAATTGATAATGATCTACGGCAGTTATGCGCGTCGCGTCAAGTATCATCGCCTTTCAGCTTCGCGAAAGAGCCGAGCGCGATGACAGATGCGAGATGATGATGATGAAGGCTCGAGGATCGGCTAAATGAACGGTCGAATTTTTATGACATTTGTAACGTCTGCGATTCGACATCTATCGTCATGTAATAATCGCGATGCATTTTAGAGAATGGGTTGGAGTCCTTCCATCGTCAAATGTCGCTCGCTTCGCCTTTAGAGGATTCTCTACTCGTTGCGATCCCTTCGTCATCTGTCACTGACCTGAAACTTAGCGCGCGCGCGCGCGCGCGCGCGCACCACGAAGGAAGATACGTACGGGAGATCAATCAGAGAAGCCGAGTGAAAGTGGAACGTCGGGCGTTAATATACGTGACAAAGGATGCCAGGAATAGTCGTAGGTGACATGCAACGCCTCAGGGATGTTCCACAACGAGCCGACGTGTCGCGACACCGGCGCGGTGGATCCTGGTGAAATGTAGGAAGCTGGTTTTCCTTCGTCCGTGCGACGGATCTTTCGTAATCGCGTCGCGGAGGCACCGCGGCCGTGTCGTCGAGTTTTCAATAAATTATCCTCAGGGTCGCGCGAATCAAACGGATAGCATCGCTGATACCGAAGGAAGTAACCGGATCTCTCTCTCTCTCTTTCTTTTTTCTCTCTCTCTCTCTCTCTCTCTCTCTCTCTCTCTCTCTACGTACGTACGTACGTACGTACGTACGTTACGTACGTACGTACGTACGACGTACGTACGTCTCTCTCTCTCTCTTCTCTCTCTCTCTCTCTCTCTCTCTCTCTCTCTCTCTCTCTCTCTCTCTCTCTCGTGCGACAGTCGCACAGCCTCTGCGGGATTAAAGCACCGCTAATGCGCGACATTAAACACCCGCAGAATTTACATGCCACTCATTGACTCGGCTCCCTAGTGACATTTGAAGAAAATAGCGATACATCATTCGCGATGCGAGCGCGAAGATTTCTTCGGGACAGTTTAATCGTTACAAAGTGGTCGTAGGGATTATCATACTCCCGACATTACGTCATGTCGCATCGCGGAGGATTCATTACATTCGTTCTGCGTTGTAACGTGTCTAATCGATAATATACCTTGATTCGCCTTAATTCGCTTACTTACTAACTCGCGTACCTTAAAGTTTGTTAGTTTATTTATCTTACCAGTTTTTTTAAATGGAAAAAAATCTGGCGGTTTGATTTACGTTTACAATCTCGTTCACTCGATCAATCCCGCTGACAACCGAGCAGATATAATTGCCTTTTAATTTCTAGAGTCAAGTAAGTTACGAATGCGAAGCAGTAAAGCAGAACGCTGGAATGAGTTTCATTTGTATTTGCAAGATTTGGAAACTTCGTCAATAATCCGCGAAGTAGAATAGAAAATCCTGTTTGTCGCAGAGAAAGAAGCGTTTGGCCTCGTGTCACAGGTTTGTCCGTTGTAAAGTTCACGATATTTCTTGGCCACTCACGAAGTCGACGAATCCTTTCTTCCTTTATCATCGGCCATCAAGGACGACGCTTCTCATTCCTCGTTTTCTTCATTTTCCTCTTTTTACTCTAATTACGACTCTTTGCACCCACTCGCGGTCGTGGGCTTTCTTCGCGCGGAAGGTCGTGAAATTGCATTCGGTCTTTCTTGTCGAAAGGTTGTTGTCCTTAGTAATTTTTGTGCTTTGATTTGGCTTATTTAATGCAGTGACGCTACGTTTATCTCCGACGAAAATATAACTGCGCGTTTTCCACGCTCTAATTATTATACTTTGGTATAAATCTTACTGCACTCCACTGCATTTTAATTAATTATTTTACTTTACGATTTTTCTATTTTTTTTCAATGGAATATAACCAAGACAAGACCGGATGAAACATCATAAATAGTACGCTAAGAGTAGGAGCTGATCAATTTTCCCGTCACTTTTACTGTCATCGTAGTTTAGATCGTATATATTTAATGGAATAGCACGTTATCCTTGGAATTTTATAAAAATATAGTTTCACACGGAAGAATCTATAATCACGTCTGATGAGAATTTCTATTAATGACAATAAAAATTGCATCGACAATGATTCTAAAAATATTCATATAAAATGATTATGCCAACATGACAAACTATAAACAACAAATGTATTCATTTCCCGGATTAATAGGTCAAAATTGCAAAAGAAGCTGAAGATCTATGGGTATTCCGTGTAACAAGACGTGCATGCAAACTGTAACATTGAAGTTAGTATTTGAGAGAGAAAGATAGAGAAGAAGGGTGGGGTTCGGCTGGTCAGTCACGGCGAGCTCTCACTTTCTATTGTCCGATGATGCCAAGAAATTGTTCGATGTAAATTTGATTTAACGCTCCAGTCAGAGCTTCTTCAATTGCGATAATTTTGCAATTAATTTTTTGGCATTTGATATTTTTTAATTTACGATTTTCTGTGATACATTTGGCTGAACACTTTTCGAAAGTTTCAAAATATTAGGAATATTGAGTTAAGAATGAAACAACGTGAAAACATGATCATTTAATTTTAACACAACTGTAAAAAATTTCTGATGATTTTTGCAAACTCTATTTTATTTAACAGCGATAAATAAGGCAGACATCCTCGTTACTTTTCTACTGCATCGGCAAGCTAGGGATTTGTGTATTATCTTCATTCTTTCCTTTCCAGACGAATCTTCGATATCTTCAATAGCGATGATCGCGAGAATCTTATATATAAAAGGATTTATTAATGTACATACAACTATTTATATAAAAAAGTATAGTGGGAGTAGTTAAATTTTATTTCCATTCACGTCTCTGTAAAGCTCGTCATTGTTACCATAAAGTCTCGGTGAGTCCTGGCAGTCCACCTGCAACATTAAAATTAATTGAAAGAGAATTGAAGTTGAATAAGAACAATTGTATGTATCTTGAATCAAATATGATTTCGATACCTTAAACCACCAGTCGCAAACGCGTGTCGTTTGACTAAAAACTGTACCATTCGGGCAAAGGAAACTAAATTGACGTCCATTTGGCAAGCACCAATGCCATACCTTGAATTAAAAAGAAAAATGTTAATATTATTTTTTTTCATAATTATTACAATTAATCCGCAATAAATTTTTCAATATTTTGAATTTATTTGACAGAACATTATAAATATTCATTCTTCTTTAAACAATATTTAATTAATCTTTCGTACAGCTTATAAATTAGCTTGCAAATTATTTGTCCAAAAATTGTCTAAAAATTTCTTTAAATATTTTTCCTAATGTTTTAAACTTCTAAACAAAACATAAATTTATATTTTTCTAAATAATATTTAATTAATAACCTGTTTTTTGAAATAATCTGTAAAAATCATTTATTTACGCAAGTAATCTGTTATATCAATCTCTTTTTTAAATAAATTTCTTAATAAAATCAACAGGATCTCATTTAACGTGTATATAATTCTACGCATTTAAATAATCTCAAATATTAAAATGAAAAAACTTGTTCGGTGACCATATGGACACACCTGACATCTGGCTTCGGGATCGGCATAGTATCCAGGTAACTTTCCTCCACAGGTAAACGCAAGTCCGAACGGCACCGAATTGTAAATTGGATAGTCTACGCCAGGTGTGTAACCATCCACTTGCTGCAACGCATAAATAATTACGTTTGTCATAGATAACCATCATTTTTAACATCTGTTATCAATCCGCTTTGTCCGCAATTTGTTTCCCCCAGCGAAACGAATCTTTATATGATTCTAATTTTTTTAGGGCGATTACATAATCATCGGTATTTGGGACATGTTTCAATTTGCATTGCAAATCACGATGGCTACATCGAAACAATTAGGCAAAACGGTGAAACTTGGAAAAGTATAACTTTGATTGTTCTGTTAGAACAATAACAATACGTTTCGACATATATCATCTCGACAATGGAATATGGCATGAATGTGCATACATGCTGTAAATCGGATTTCCTCTCTCTTTAATGCGAGCATGTGTGTACGTGTTCAGTCATAATTAACTTGCGTCAATAAATTTCATAACTGACTGTTTTGCATTAATTCTTACATGCAAAGAAATGCAGCGATTATGTAAAAGTATGTCTTTTAATTATATCCCCATTATATTATGGAAACTGCTCGATTGATGAAAACTAACAATTATTTTCGATACTTCAAACACTTGTAATTTTTTTCAAGTGTTTTGTTCTAAGCTAGTTTTACGTTTTTGTTGAATTGAAATTAAAACGTTTATTAAAACAGATAAAAATTAATTTTTCTGTTAAGCAATATTTAATTACTATTGTATAATGATATTAATACGTCAATTTTTTTCGGTCCTTTGCCACGGGGTTAAAACGAGGTCACGACGCAGGATCTTTTTCGTAATTGGCCATCAGCCAAACGAAAAAAAAAATAAAGAGGCAGTTGCGACACGACGCGTCGACTCGAGACCGTTCGGTGCGTGCACGTGCCAATGTTTGACCGGAAGTTGGGTTACATTGTTCCTCCCCAGCGGATGCGCATCTCCACGGCTTTGTATACGATCTCTTGTTTACGATTTCACGTGTACGTATGCAGATGCACGGTTCCTTCCTTCTCTACGCGCCGAATCTAACTGGTGATTCCAACGCCTGGTAAGAAGAGCGCCGCAGAAATGGTGATTCACTAATTACGTTGCACTTTTACTTTCGAGGAATGATATTCCAAATTTTTTTTTTTAATAACATTGAAAATTTAAGTTAAGCCACGCGATATATATTCAATAAAATAAAAATTATATTGAAAGGAATGATATTCAAAATTAAAGTTAATCTACGCGACACATATTCAAATGAAAATGTAAGCATAAACGTAATAAAATTATAATTATATGTAATTTGAAAAAAAAAGATATTTGAAGAGCTCAAAAATATTCTGATATATATACAATACAGATATAAATTGGATTTTTTGTTTGCACGAAAAAATAAGAGTTATTTTATAATTGCAGAATAATGTCGTGAAAGATGTATTAGTCGCGTAGAAGCGGAATAATGCAAACGTCGCATAAATTAATTTGAGTATCTTATCTTTCCGTTTGTTAGCTTCGTGGCATTGAAGAGATGCGTTTTATTTCTCGGCTTATTATTCTCTATCCCGATTTTCATCGGTTTCGCGTACATCATTTCCGGTGAAATATGTCTTCTAACTGCTAATTAAGAATTGAACGCGGCGAATCCGAATGTTCACGCATTGTTTCTTCTTTTCATTAAAGTTTACTAATAATATAATATTTATTAATAATATAATATTTTATTTCTTAAAATTCTATAATAATACCGCCGAGTATCTCTTAATTAAAATGAAAAAAATATACACGTGACTAATTAATTATGTGTTATTTTTCATTTTTGGGACTTTTTTGTTATTGCAGTATCGAAATCGCGAAATATGTTTATTCAGTATCATTTCCGTATCGTCGAAATATTTCTTGAGTTGTATTTAGAACGCGTCCGGATTAAATCCAGACTTTGTCTAATGAGGCGCTTCGTACACCGGCGAGAGTGATCGTGTAACACGTTAATTAATGAATTACTTCATGTTACCACCTTAAGACAAAAATGATGCATGCAGACATTCGCTGTTATTGTTACGCGATATACCGTGAGAAGTCACGATGAAAATGATAATTTTGTATTTTAATACGTTGTGACAGACTTTGTAAAAGTGGAATATTTACGAAACGTCCCCCCACCACTTCATGCTACGCGCGTTACGTTATTGTTTGACAAAAACATAATGACTTTTAAATTTACAAAAACATTTTTTACATAATTTTAATAATAATTATATATTTAAATTATTATATTATATTACGATTTGCGGAAAGATTAAAAAAACCTACACTAAGAATTTTAACTTACCGCCATTGTTTCATAGAGTAAAACCGCACCAAGAAGCAAAAGAGCGCAGATTACTTGATACCTTGAAATCATCTAAAAAATTGAAGATTTAATTTTAATGCATATAAAAAAGCAGAAAAGCATTTAAAACTATCTTTTACCTTATACGTAAAAAAAAAAAATTATAATTCACAAACATCACTCTTAATTAATTCTTTAGTTATATATTTTTATTTTGAAATTTGCTGGTTATTTTTAAAATGTTACATATTTTTACAATTTTTGCAAATTTTTACAATTTGTGAACTATTTCTGAAATTTGTGAATTATTTTTGAAATTTAAAAGTGATCAAAATTTTAAATTTATAAATACGGAAGACTGAGTTATGTTACTTGCCTTTCCGAAAAATCTGATCCCCTTAATCCGCAGTGTCGTACAGCGTGGTGATCATTTATCTTCCCGTGTTCCTTGTCTTTTCAGTTTTTTTGTTGAACTGCACTTACTCTTCAGATTCGACGATTCTACTTCCAGAGTATCTTTCTTAAAAGATTGTTCCACGAGGTGGTGGTATATATATATATGGCTTTAGACATCAGCCGAGAAAAAGGGGGGACTCTTGAGAGTCTCTCTTTCTTGGGGCTCCCACATCAGACGAACGGAGAAAGAGAAGATCCCAGAGCGGTAGAAGGAGGGATGTTCTTCTGTGGTACAGAAGATTCCTCTCTTACGCAATCGTCTCGTGCTCTAACACCCGTGAAAATATTCGTAATCATCGTACTTGAACCATTGTGATATCTGTGCTCTTCTTTCTGTCCCCTTTGAAACAAAAGAAAATTCGAAATGTAATTACTCTTGTTCTTCTTCTACATTAGAATCTTTATAGAAATTCGTTACATCTTTGCTGTTACATTTTATTTAGAGTTTAAATGTTATATTACGTGTATAGAACGAACGCGATGTTAATGGAGACTTTCCTTTGAGCGAAGATTTTTTTCATAGAAATGTTACCTTGTCTCCTTGGAGGGTTTACAAGATACTCGATGCATGCGTCTCGCTCGATCAAGATGTGCTCAATAAATTAGCTACTTTTACTTGGGAGTTATGTGTCTAATTATTCTGGCTGCTGTTAGAATTGCAAATGCCTGAGGAAAATGCCGGTTATGCAAGTATAAATATAGTTCGCATCTAAAGATAATGAATTAAAGTAGCGATAAAGAATTTGCAATTTAATTCGCCAATCTCCAACTAGTGAGAAAGCAACGACGTTTTCCTTTTCTTTTCTTTTCTTTTTTTTACTTGAATTGTGAGCGCGGGCTTCGAATTAATGTATAATGAAGAATTATACATTGACCGCAAATTCTTATCTTTACACCGTCCGGATTTTACGCTTCTCCATTTTGCTGGAAGATGATTGACGTATTTTGTTACATAAGCGATCGAAATATTCTTGGTTCGCGCGATCGTATCGCTAATTACTGTTTTGTGCGTTCACGCTGGAGGGGTTGAGATCAGCGCGCCGATCTTCTCTCGATCAGATACGACCTTTTTTTTTTCCTCTCTCTCTTTTAATTTGAGATTTTTCCGCGAAACGGAAACGCTCGTCAGCGGATCGTATCCCAAAATGATTCGCTCTTATCGCGCGAGATGGATCCAAGGTTGCGCTGTCGCGCAACGTTCAGCGCTTGTTCGTCATAACACGATTCAACGAATGTGAACCTACGTCGTTCCGCTTCTTATTGCTCCTTGACGTTCTCGCGATCGTACAATGGCGTGATGTGATATACGCCACTCTTGTTTTGGCAACTGAAGCTTTCACCGCCGATCATAATGACACCCAGTAAATCCCAGTATGGGGGAGGGGGGGAATCGTTAACGTGCTAATCTGATTCCCGTCAATGTGGCCGTCCGACGCAGGTAGACGTATCGATGTGTGCGAATTTGCGTGATCTATCGCGATGTTGTAATTGCCCAATGTGTGAGGAAGATGTTTCAAGATCTTTAATTTCTAAAGTTCGTCTGACTGGATTGAATAGCTTTTTTTTTTATCTGTGAGACAGCGATGACATTTATGATGATTTCGTTGTCTGATGAATGGCACGGACTGGCTGTGACTTCAGGAGGATGTCTTCATAAAACGTACCAAAAACGCGACCTTGCGATGCATCGCGGAATTTAGAATCGCGAGTTGCATCTCGCGCCAGATCTCGAGCCGCCTATTTGCATTTCGCGGCGCGCGCGCCTCGGCATCTTCCGCTCCGAGCCCCTTAATTTTCGAAACATGTTTCGTGCCAATTAGTGATGGATAATTGACGCCTACGAGCTTTTCCAGATTGACATGTAAAACTCGAAGGAGAATTAGACATCCGGCGGTTACGGGTCGCCGATGACTCACGCCACGAATTATGCGCCATCGTTTTTTTCCCTTCAAAACGGAAAACTGTAGAAGAGTTTCGAGTTTCAATTAAAATTTTTCACAATGACGCCACTTTAGGTCCTAAAAGATTAGTTGCACTTTCTATAGAGAGGTTTTTAATATCGTACATATTTTTAAATTTAACTAAAACTTCTTAAAGAAAAATCTTCAATACGTTTTTTTTTCTTCTTTACACCGTATGGAGTAATACTTTAATTGCGTGCGTTACACTCGTCGATTTTATGTTGTTAAAGTATTGCGTCACGCCCACATCGCACACAAAAGTAGTGTGCGTTTCAAGAACAACAGGAAACAAACACCAGCGGAGCATCCCCTTCTCTTCTTACGGGCGATTTCGCACGGATCGTATTGCAATTCGTGTTACGTGCGGATGTGGAGTGCCACAGACCGCGGGCGCAAACCGTTGCTCTTAATTAAATTATCTGTCTGCTGGTTAATTAGATATCGGAGCGATTGCAAAATGTACGTGACAACCGTGAGAAGATCTTTTATACACGAACGAAAGTGCGCTGGAAAAACACCGGTGAGGAAAATGTCTCTTCTATTCATTGAATAGAACTCGTCAGTCAGCATATCGTTTATATTCGAAAAATGTTCCTGACTTCAAATTTAGATCTCGAGAAATTGTCGACCCCGAGCGAAACACGAGAGAAAGATAATTATGAGATAAAAGAATTCACGATAGAAAATGTTTAAATAAAATTTTAGTAGCAAGAATTTGGTCGACCATCTGGTGGAATTCCTGAATCAGATTCAAGTTTGACGATTTAAAAATAAAATTTAAATAAAATTTTTGTAGCAAGAATTTCGTTAACCATCTGGTGGAATTCCTGAATCAGATTCAAGTTGACGATTTAAAAATAAATATTTAAATAAAATTTTCCTAGCGGCAATTTGGCGGTTAATCATCTCGTGGAATTGCTGAATCAAGTTCAAGTTAAACGGTAGTTAAACATAAAATCGCATTTTTCTCTGTAATAATCACGTTGGAAACATTTGCGTCTGAGAAATGAGCGAGGGGATACACTTCGTGGAGGAATCTTTCTCGCGGCATTCGCGCGGCTCAGCATCTTCGCACGACGCGCTCCTGCGGCATAATCCCCCGCAATTTCATAACGCCCCGACTTCCGAGCATCTTCTTTCCTGTCGCCGGATGCCAACAAAGAAGGATGAAAGTTATTCTCACGTTTTTTTTTTACCGCTCGCCGAGCGTCAAATAATTCATCGCGGATCGGTGATAGTTTCTGGAAGAGATTCGCCTCCTGGAAGGGATTCGTTGATCCCGCCGAGGATAAGTCCGATGATATAACAAATAATCACTTGTGCATTGCGACATACGCGCGTGTTAATATATTTTGAGCTCTCGGGAGAAACGAATTCGCGGGACACATTGTTTCCATTTGGAACTGCACTGTTCCATATTAATTGCATGCGTAAATGCTCACTTAATCGTGAGATCTCGCATACTTTGTTATATTGTACTACATTATATTACATTATGCAACGTGATTATGATTGATATTTGCAAGAAGCGAGGGATAGAAAGCTAATATAGATTTGACGGGAGATAGTGATATTTTGGACGGAGGTAAATTTTGTTTCTCGCGATTAAAATTTCCGACGTCGGATTGCGCATATTTCTGTCACGTGGATTTTATTGTATTTTAGTTATATAAGTTATAAGGATTATAATGAAGAATGAACGTCGGGAAGTTGTGCTTCGTAACGCGGTATTAATGCAATTCTCATTGTTATTGCTAAATTCATACATCGAAGATGTCACTCTAGATATAAAAATTGTTAAAACTTACAAACAACTGTAAATCCTATCTCTTTATACGTCTACGTATACGATAAAATATTTTATGTGGCGCGCACTTTGTGATAAGAATTTAAAATCGTTAGAGTCTGAAAAGATTCCTCTTCCACGTTGCGCGATTACGATTAATCTCGGTGGCGTCAGATCTTATCGCGCCTTATGTGTCACCTCCACTTTGTCACAGGTGTGTCGGTCTTAAACAGAGGCGTATACGCGCACACGTTTACGTGCATGTGCGCATGTACATACGATGCCTATCGTGATTCGTTCCGTTTTATCAGTCAGCGCAATTCCGAACGTACGGCGCGGCGCTCGCCGTCCCACATTTTCAGTCGCATGTACACGACAGTGCATACCGCAGGTGTCTGTCAATCGTCGTTCCTCTCCTAGGTATTCCGGTCTCGGATTCGCGTGAGAGAGAATCCGCGGATTTGCCGGGATTTGCAGAGGACGCGAGGCGAGTCTCGTTGCACGCGGATGCGCCGCCGCCGCCGCCGCCGCCTCCTCCGCCGCCGCCTCCACCGCCACATCCGTTGTCCTGTTCGGCGCGACGATGTTTCCGGAAGCGTGGGCTTTTTCAGCCGCCACCGTCGCCGTCGCTCGCCGCAGGTGCGTCGAACGGTAAGATCGAGATCGGTGCCGATCGCACCTGGGTGGAGTGCAACGAATCCTGCACCTCGACTTAGAAACGTGCCGTGCGTACGTATGTATGTGCGTGTGGACGTGTGTCCGTGTGTCCGTGTGTACGTGTGGATTTTGTCGCGATTTTGTCAACCGCCGTCGAACGCGGGAAAGTGAAGGTAACTCGCCGCGCGCGTTTTTCGGGATATTTAATGCCCCGCTCGTAATTCCTCGAGAACGAGACACTCGGCGCGAGTGTCCTAGGATTCCGCGCGGTCAATCTTCTCGTACGAATGGACATCGCGATTTCCCCGATAAAAGGAGGCTCGCGTTTGTGTTTCGTCGCGCGTTGCGACCCGCCGCAACTCGATTTCGATCGGGTCCGACGGCTCGCGACGAGCATTTTGTAATTATCATGCGGCTATTGTTTAAATTAACGATCAATGGTGCCGCGCTCGGCGTGGCTATCGTAAATTCTCCGCCCGATAGTCTCGCTCCCGTCTCGCTTATGCAATCGCACGCATCCTTGGGTTTTGCGCCACCGAACGATAAGTCGCTTTACGCTGAACAATTGCGCGTGTTTTCTCGTGGCAATATTTAACAATGGGCCGCCTGTAAATCTCTAGGCACTTGGCGCGTCGTCTTTATCACGGATTTTGACTGTGCAACCGTGAGATATGATAAAAAGGATCAACAATCACGATGACGCACTACTGTCATTAGTTAAAAAAAAAAAAAAAAAAACATAATAATAACGTAAAATATGCAAATCATTGAAACAATAATCGATGAAATCAATCGTACGAGATTAAAAAGTAGTCAGGAAGATATCAAGAGGGAATTTCTTTTTAATTTCTCGCGATTGCGTTAAAAACGGTCTCATTATGAATAAAGTACACATCTTTACGAGCTTATGTTATCTCGTCGATAACATTCGGTATATTTGAGGTTTAAACTTGCGAAACACCATCGTTTTATCGCTATGCTTTATGATCCGTGGCAAAAATTAAGAATCTCATAAGGAGCAAAGTAGAACAGATGATTCCGTCCGAACGAACGCGTCGTTCTGTCTGAATTATTATTCATCGTTAAATTTCGCACGATGCAGAGGAAATGAAGTATCAACGTAAGTAAGCAAATTAATGAGCGCCGGATAATTTCCATGAGGCCCCATATGGTACGATTTTTTTCTACGTGCGTATAGTTCCACCACGGTTCGATTTTACCGGCGAGATTTGGTTTATCGGAGATCTTGATACGTTAGAAAAAAAAAAAAAAACACATATGTAGGAACTGCTTGTATTTTTCGGGAATTCATGTCGGAGCGATTTTAATCGTGATGGCGATACATCATGATTTTTCCCCAACGAATTCAATCCGCCGTTCGTGAGGACGTATGCGCGGCACGCATCGTTAGACTCCTTCGTGACACGGCCATAACAGCTTCCGGTCGGACATTCAGCGGCGCTCGCTTCCGGTTCCCACCCTATCACACGAGCTGCGAATGAAAAGGGGAATTGGTTGATTTCGCGTTGTCAGATATAATCGCCGGTCGAGTAACGTCGCGTAAATTTTCGCGGCGTTTGCTTATTTTTCTTTCTTTTTTACGACGAGCGGGAACGTCCCGCCGTTCGTCGACGAAAACGTACTCGTCTTATCATGCGGCTATTATGCGGGCAGCGTGATTGTCCTTCATTAGAGTGTTGTTTTTTTTTTTTTTTTTTTTTACGTTTTTGCAGTAATTCTCTTTATTATACAAGAGTCCAGGATTCTGCGAGATATCGCCGACGAGTATAACGGAAATCTGAGGAAACCGTAATAACGAGCAGCGATTCTATTTCATCTGCTAACGCTACCGTTATCAGGCATCTCGAACTTTTCTTCTTTTGCTACTGCTTACTCTGTGCTAATTAACTATCGAGGTGTCCTATCTAATTTCCCGATGGTATTCGTCGTCGATGGTAATCGGCCTAAGACGTGCAACGTGTCTGTTTTTACGCCACGGTGATGAGAGAGCGAGGTGAATATTTTAGAAAATCATGTATTTACAAGACACCCGGTGAGTAGCCGCTCGCGTTAATAGTCCTGCTATTGTACGCGGGTGTAATTCGACGACAGGTGTACAGGCTACAGCTACGTATAGGGCGTCCCATAAAATACGTCTCTCCTTTGCACGCTACTTTTTGTACCACTCTTAGATTAGATTCTTTCGCAAATAAATTCTGCACGGTTAATAATTATAAAATATATATCGAATAGCGATCTCTTTACGGTAGAATTTCTTTTCAGTACACGCCTACATTTTAATGCCTTAATCAAATCACTTCATCGAGGAAAAAAAAAACGTTATAGAGGAGGTATGTAGGAAGTACATTTGAAGAATTTTTTAACATGCCCTTTGTATCGACCACGTTTGCATGTATATGCATGCTCAAGTTATTTTGAAATTACATTATGTTTTGTTTAGGATTATTTTTAAAATATTAAATCTATGTCTTCACGCACGTTTAAAAATAAATGAAAATTTTTATTATATATTCTCAAAACAATGCTCGTGGATGCCTCGCAAGCGCGAAGCTGAGCAACAAATATACCACACCTGTGTAACCGACGGAATACATTAATGAATCTTTCCTCACCTGACTATCGGTCACCTGACTCATTTCCTGTGGACTGTGAAACGGAAAAGACCCCCGGCACGTTTAAAATCGCCGATACAATTGCATCCCGCGCATCCGCTGTCGGGATGTAATCACGGGGACGCGGACAAAAACCCGTCATTGTCGCTGCGCCTATTACGCAGAGAACAGTGAAAGTTAAAACAGTGAACGCCGATCCGTTGATACCGTTGAAAATTTTTTTTCATTATTTAGTCACAGTATAAATACGAGAGTTGCACAATAAATTAATATACACCAAGTATAGAAGAGAATGTGACGACATAATTATTAATTTAGATAAGAGATAAACTTGAATATAGATAATTATTGAAAGTGGCAACGTTGTATAATGAAAGGAATGATTTGAATTATATATGCGCAATTCTTATTAATTCTCTTATCGGGTAACGTAACGTTCTGTCCAAGCAATTTCACTATAAATAGCACAAGTACACGGTTCAGTGCAGTGAAGTGGAAGAGAGGAAGAGAAGGAAGCTCGATGGAACCAGTACGATGCAAGGTGCAACACGTGCTGCCCGACAGCTGTTTTCCGGTTTAACTTTGGACGTTAAGCCCATTTTTAATTTCGCGCCCGGGCGCACTTCCAAATAACATAATAATTGCAACGTGTGACACGCGGGGTGGATCCTCCCCGTCCGTTAGAAAATTCGTGTGCCATTCGCGAAACGCGTCTTCTTCTGTGTTTCATGGCTTAAAGATTATAGGAATTTCCGTACGGCGCGAGAGAAGAATGCGTTCTGATCGGCAAATCATTTGCAGGTAGCCTGTTATTTTCCCCCCGTGTGAGAAAGAAGGAGAAGAAGACGAAGAGGAAACGACAAATTTCGATATTAACCATCCGAAACCGATCTAGCTATGGAGGACGAGGACTTTGGTTTCGCGAAGAGGACGGACAATGTCCTGAGGAAGGCCCTCACCGTTGGCAATGAACGAACGCACAAGAATACTATTCATAACGATGAGCAACGGATCTGTTCTCCATCGAAGGTTGGCTTCTTGCTCGCGTATGATAGATAAAACTCTCTTGCAGCGCATATCTCATTATGATAATTAATAATTATTAATATTTAATATAATCCTAGGAAGAGATTATATTTATTTATGAGATAAATCTTCAACGGATATATATATATATATATATATATATATATATATATATACTATATTAATTTATT